CGCATGGATGCCGATGGGTATAAAGGCGCTTGCGCTTGTTGCCTTGAAGGCCAGGGCTGGGATAAGCTCGCGTCCTCGGTTGCGCCGTGACAACTCGTCTCCATGGAGAGCCAGCGGGGTGACGACGGTTCTGTTGGTGATCTCGACTGGCATCTCGACATATGCCGAGGTGAAGTTGCATCTGCGCAGCGCCAGCTCGTCACCACCGGCCTCTTCTCGGTAGTAGCTCGTGTATTCGAGAGCCGAGTAGACGTGATTATCGTGAGGCGCCGGCATCTCTCCTTGCCACCAAGTGGCTGGTGCTGACACGTTCTGGGCCGGGTGGTCGATATGAAGCGTTTGCAGCTGGTAATTCATGGAGAGCAAGAAGCAATGACCGTCCTCGCCGGGTCGAGGGTCATCCGGATCGCCGCCCACGTGTGTGCAATTCATGCCCGTGTCCAGCCGGGCGAGCAGCTCTACATCGCGATCCGAGACGTATTCTTTGGTGCAGGTTCTGCCATAGCTGGCGACAGTGACGGTCGTCGCACATGTTGACTCCGGCGGGCAAGCGCTGTCATGCGACGTCAGGCGGATCGGCGTTCTCTGGTTAAGACCTCTGGCTGCCCTTGCAAACTCGGCATGGTACGCCGTGGGCGTGGACGACATTCTTCCGTAGGCAGAGTGATGTCGGCTGTAATAGGCCGTGAGGTTCCACATGGGTTCTCGCCTGATGGGGAGGGTCAAGTTCCGGGGCGTCGTCCTGCTGTCGAGGTCGACCACTACTGCTCGCTGTAGCAGAGGGCCGAGTGCCGCGAGCAGCAAGAGGACAATTCCAGCCGTTCTCAGAACAGGCTCCGCGTCGGGCATTGGGGTGAAGCGGGACATTGGATCGTGACACAGCTCCCACACGCTCTGGAGGGTATGAAGCTTGATGCCGGAGCGGGAGAGGAGCAGCGTCCACCAGTACCTCTCTGCGCCATCGTGGAAGGCGAATCGCAGCACCATGGCGGACAGCGTCGCGAGAATGGACAGATAGACGCTCGGGGAGACTGTCCAGTCTTCAACGGCTTTTCCATCGGCGAAACGGACGATGAACAGTGCGAGGCCCGATGTGATGAGCGATGCTCCAAGGGCGGCAAACGCGAGGTGAGGGGCGTGTCGGAAGGATCCAGGCTGCCAGGTGTGTGACGGACGAGCCTTGCCTGCTGTTGATGGTGCCTTCGAATGCATGCTTGCAATGACGGCGGCAAGCGATGGGGGAATTGGGAATCCAAAGACTTGGTTCTCGGGGGCTTGGGGAAGAGCAGATAGACATCGTTTTCCCAGTCTCTTCCACTTCAATCGAGGATGGATCGACAGGCTGGGCAGCCTGATGGCGACGACCCCGCTCGAGGCACAGTCTGCATGCTGTGCCGTCTTGTGCATCCTCGCGAGCCTGTAAGATCGAAGCAAATCATAACGGGCGGCATCCCGAATCCTTCAGTCCGCCTTGCCATCGCCCAATGGGGGAGCGAGACGATGAAGCCAAGAACGTGATGTTATCGCGCGCAAGATGCTTGGAATTTCCAAATAAGCTTAAATAAATCGATTTTTCAGCCTTATAGTCGCTGACTGCCATTTACAGGTAGAAAACCTACCTCAGATTTACCACCATCTCACGACACAGACAATGGGATCTGGAATGTAAGGGCAATATGAGCAGGCCGTGATCGGGCTCGGTGAGGCCGGTGTAAGTTCTAGGCTGTGGCGGCGGAAATGAGTGGCTGCCATGATGTCAGCCACAGCCAACGGTGAGTGTGGCATGCCAGTGCTTCGAGTTCAAGTGTGAGCCCTCCCCCGACTTTCATGCTGCGCCAGGGAGATGCAATACGCTGATTCATATTCCGGTCTCAAGTGATAGAACGGCAGGTAAATCAGTAGGATTTGACCAGGAGGTTTAGGTGGTCTGGGAAGTCGTGGCTTTCCAAGTTCAAGGCCGCTCCGAAATTCCCGATGACGAGAGCTGAAAATGCTTTGATTGAACTTCAATGGATGAAATCCCCCCATGTTCACTTCGACGACCCGGCTTCTTCCCCTTTCCTCCTCGGCTGCTTGCCGAAACCTCGGGGTAGCTGCCCGCCTTCGCCTGCCAGGTTGTGAGGAGAGCGCTGCTTTTGAGATTAGGTCAGCCGTCAGTGTGATGCAGGTACGAGCCCAGCCTGCCCGCGCGTCCAAGCTCGCATCCTCCCTGCTTCCTGCCAGGGTCATATCTCTCGCACAAACATTTTGGGCCGCCCAAGCTTCAGATGATCTCCTTCTTGCACCTTGTCACCAGCACACCCCATCATCCAAAACCCTATGCATCAACAACACCATGCCGTCTCCGAGCCCTTCCTCACGATGCCGAATGCCGGGCCTGTACGTAACTCTGGGGTAATGGACCCGCCCGGTAGCTCCGGGGCTAGCCGCACCGCTGGACATCGCGGTCCAGGGCCTGCCAGGTGCCGCCCTGTCGTGGCGCTCGGCACTGCCTGTGGGGGAGATTCAGCTCTGAAATTCCCGCCCCTCGATTGGCCATTGGCACGCTCACCGATTGCACGGGTGCTTATCACCGCGATAAGACAGGGCCCCAACAGACGCGTTCCAGGGCAGGGTCACTGATATCGACAAACGGACGGGATCCGACTTCCTTTCGCTCCCGGTCCCGTCAGATTCATCGCTTTTTTCTCCATTCTTCATCAATCCCTCAATGATGCGTCCCTCTATTGTGAAGCGGCCGGTCCAGCTTTTCCGCGGCATTGGGGGCCTCCCCGCCGCCCGTGTCCACTCGCGATCTCTGGGCGTCGTCGCCCGGAACAGGGGCCCGAGGGAGCATGCACTCGTCGGCCGCAGACCCGACACTCTCGCCAGGCATGGAGCGCGCTCGCTCAGTAGCGGCCGTGACGAAAAGGATGATGAAGAGGAACGCGGCTCGTACAGCGAGGCCGATCACGAGCATGCCGTTATTTCGACATTTGATCTCTTTTCCATTGGCATTGGGCCGTCGTCATCTCACACCGTCGGCCCGATGCGCGCCGGCAATATCTTCGTCGCTGACCTCATCGAGGCCGGCCTGCTCGACAAGGTCCATCGGATCAGGGTCTCAGTGTACGGAAGTCTGGCTCTCACCGGCGAAGGCCACATGACCCCCTCGGCCCTGCTGCTCGGCCTCGAGAGTGCCGACGTCGAAACAGTGGACGCCGGATACGTCCCGGAGAGGTTCGCCCAGATCAAGCGGGAGAAGGAGATTGTCCTTGGTGACGGCCTGCCCGATGGCAAGGGCAAGAGGATCGCCTTTGACTACGACCGCGACTTCATCTGGGAGTGGGGAAAGAAGCTGCCCATGCACAGCAACGGCATGCGTTTCATGGTGTTTGACGAGGAGGGCTACATGCTCGCCACCAACGACCTCTTCAGTGTCGGCGGAGGCTTCGTCGTCAACGGCGCCATGTCCATCAACCCCACGGCACCTCCCTCCGGATCCGATCAGGGCGCTCTCGTTGACGCCAGCGAGGCCGGACATCCTGCAGATCTGGCAGAGAACATGTACTACAAGGAGATTCGCCGCGCCGACGCCGCCGGCGACCGCAAGACGGGTACCGAGATCAAGTCCATCGAGTCGGCGCTGGAGGAGGGTGATTCTTCATCCATGTCGCTCCAGAGCCAGGAAGGCAACTCGCCCGTGTCTTTCCAAGGCGACGAAGAAGCCCACAGCTCCGGGCAGCAACCCCGGTACCCCTTCCGCGACGCGACAAGCCTCTTGGCGCTGTGCGAGAAGCACAACCTCACCATCGCCCAGCTCGTCTATGAGAACGAAAAGAGCCACGGCTACACCGACAAGGAAATCGTTGACAAGGTGTTCCGCATCTGGGACACCATGGACAACAGCATCCTCGAGGGTGTCCAGGCACCGCTGGACTCGGTGCTTCCCGGCTCCCTCAAGCTGCACCGCAGGGCGCCCGCCCTGTACAACAGGCTGACGAGGGGCCTATACCCTGCATCGCACGCACAGAACGGCGTCCGGCCTTCCAACGCCAGCAGGAGCAACAGCACCAGGACGAGCGCGACCGAGTCGGATCCCGCGTCGTCCAAGGCGCTCGCAAGGGCTGAGCCCAAGACGAGGAGTCCGGCCAAGGTCCACGGCTCCCTCTTCCACCCGGTGCTGCCGTCGCCAATGCGGCGAACCATGTTTCCCGCCATGGATCACCTCTCGGTGTATGCTATTGGTAAGTGAAGCTGCTCTTGTCAAAGTCGACTCATCACTGACCCGTCCAGCGGTGAACGAGACCAACGCAGGCGGAGGCCGCATCGTGACAGCACCCACCAACGGCGCCGCCGGCATCATCCCAGCCGTGCTCAAATACACAGTCGAGTTTGTCAGCGACGATCCCGACCGCGACATCCTCACCTTCCTCCTCACAGCAGCGGCCATTGGCATGTTGTACAAGCGCGGCGCGACAATCTCAGCAGCCGAGGGCGGATGCATGGCCGAGGTGGGCGTCGCCTGCTCCATGGCCGCCGCAGGTTTCGCAGCTTGCATGGGCGGCAACCCCAACACCATCGAACAGGCGGCCGAGATTGGCATCGAACACAACCTCGGTCTGACGTGCGATCCCATCGGCGGATTGGTTCAGGCGCCGTGCATTGAGCGCAATGCCCTCGGCGCGATCAAGGCCATTTCGAGCGCTAACCTGGCCCTCAGCGGCTCGGGGACGCAGAGGGTCAGTCTGGATGATGCGATTCGCGCGATGAGGTTGACGGCACAGGGCATGAGGAATGAGTTCAAGGAGACGAGTTTGAGCGGTCTCGCTACAAGCGTGCCGCTTAACATTCCCGTCAGCGTGCCGGATTGCTAAGGGAAAGAAGGGGGAGTGGTTGAAAAGTGTCATTTAATAGAGCAGATGAGCGTTGCAATTGAAGTCTGTTACTGAGGGCGCTGCCCGAAAATCCCGCATCCTGCGCGACTTGGGCTGGTGCCACAGCGGATCACCCAACGAACAGGCAAGGTGGCCGAGTGGTTAAGGCGATAGACTCGAACTTGACCTGGTTATCTGGGTCTCTCTTCGGTCATCTATTGGGTTCGCCCGCGTAGGTTCAAATCCTGCCCTTGTCGGTATCTACAGACAACCCAGCTCAGCTGGGATCAATTTTTGTTTTTTCTCGTGCCATCGAGGGGCAAATTTGGAGGTCGTTCTGCTTCACTGTCGATGTCATGCACTGGTTGGATTGGGAGCCGGTGTGCTTCCAAGGCTTTTCATTTTTGACTTCGCGCCGTGCTCACGATATGCTCGTCCCTGATCCACTAACCAGCGCCGCCAAACTCGCCTCAAGATCCTCATCATCATCGCTCTCCTCCTCCCCATCCATCAGATCAATCGCCAACACACTCCCCGAACTCAATACATCCAGCTGGAATCCCGCCTTCAAGATATCCTTCACGTCAAAAACACACCCCGCAACGTCAAGGTCGATGCCCGCGTCCTTGAGCGCGAGGCAAACGACGCGAAAGTGCTCGTGATGCGTGTCGGCGATATCGACATCCTCGTCGGCCCCGACACCGTCAAAGATGAGGATCCCGCTGCGGAAGGGGAAGCAAAAGGTATCGCCGACTTTTGCGGCCGCGGCGACCAGTGCTGAGGGGTCTGTGGTGGATGTTGTGGCGAGGCGGGTGAAGATGCGCCCGTTGAGGAGGGTGTCTGCTGTTGCGCGGAGCTTGGGGGTGAAGATGAGGACGTTGGGGGGGAGTTCTGGCTTGGAAGCGCTGGCGGCAGTCTTTGGTGATGACATGGTGAATGATCGCCTGGCGGTGGCTGTTGATGGTAGGATGTGAGGGTGAGAGATCATCGTGATGGAATGATTGACTGCCAAAATCTGAGTTCCAGACCCACTGGCAAGAGGCAAGTCAATGCTAACATCTTAACCAAGCCACCCTCGCCAAGCCTGATAGGCGCTACTTCAACCTTCCTCTCCCCTCGCCCTGCAAGCTGTCCTTGGTGTTTGCTCCGACACTTTCTCCTCTACCTTCCTACCTACCCCAGCACAGTTCCAACCAGGATAGAGTCAAGACTCGCTCCGCACGCCCTTCCATCGATTGAATAGACCCGAAAGCTCAAAAAGAGATCATCAACCCGCAGGGCCGGTACTTCGTACAACAATATATCGCCAAGCCCAGACCAAGCTGATGGTGACCCTGTGCTCTCAATGTCACCCTGCCAACCAACACCTCCATTCGCAGTGCTCAGCTGCCAATTTACTCGACAACCGGCGGTGATTTTTACATGCACGGAAAACCTGTACCTCTGTCCTGGTCCCAGACAGACCCGGAAACCCTGGCTGATCCGGATGGCCTGGGCTGGCGTTGCTCCCGCCGGCACTGTCGCGTACCACCCACAGGCGCCCTCTCTTACCCAGTCAGGATTGCTGTCGCAGCGTACTCCCGTTGTCGACCCAGCAGGAGGGTTGCCGAACTGTGACCATGATTCTAGGCTCTGGCTCTCGAAGCCGTCGTTCTTGACAAAGTTGCTCGGCGTGGGGCAGGCGACGGGGGATGTCGTTGTTGCGGTTACTGTGCGTGATATGGTTGACACCGAGGTCACCGTCGCTGTACTCTGTGGGAGTGTGACTGTCGTTGCTATGACCGGGCAGCTGCTTTCGGGCGGAGATGAGGGGTCGGTTGGTGAAGAGAGGGTTGAGGACTCTCCGGGTGCTGTGCTGGATGGAAAGTCGGAAGCAGGGCAGCTCTCCGTCACCGTGACTGTCGATGGGCCCGACGACGCTGTGGAAGAAAGTGTGCTTGTGGGTGGGCTAGGGTTGTCGCTGGAGCCAGTCTGTTCGATGCTGGATGTCCCCGAAGTCTCGGAGGATGGGATGGCGCTACAGTTTTCGACAGAAGTGATGACCGTCGTGATGATGAGTGTCGTCGGAGGGGTATATGGGCAATCCGTAGGCTGCGAAGAGGGCCATTCGAGAGAGCTCGACGTCAGACCAGTCTCGGAGGATGTCGGGGGCGCAGACGGCTCGATAGTAGATAAAATGAGGGAAGTCAAGGATGGTCCAGTGGTGCTTAAACTCGAAGAGAGGGCGCTCGTCGTCGTCGGCTTGCACTTCCCCGCGAACACGACGCCGCTAAGCGTGGACGCAAGTCCAAAAAAATGAATGGTCTTCATCTGTCCGAACTTTCTGGAAGAACCCCTTGAGAAGGAATTGTTGAAGAAAAGGCTGGAAAACAGCAATCCTTTAAAAAGGGCAAACAAGTAACGATGCCCCCCTGATATCAACCGTGGCCAGCCCTCTCCACACGGTGACCCCGAACGTGGCTGCTTACGTCTGTTTATCCTGCCTTCCACGCAGCTGAAAGCCTGCGATGCCCAATAGGACGTGCAGCTATGACAGAGAAGAAGACATATTCGGACGGAAAGAGACAGGAAGCAGGGATGGTTACGCCCGGTCTTCTTCGTTGGCAGGCTGTACCAACGGTTTTCCCTGCCTGTCCGGGGTCCCCGCCGCTCATTTTCTCCGCCCGGCTTGATCATTGGGCGACTTGCATGGTGTGACCAGAGGGACGGTACGGGCTGTTGTCAGCCAGCCCTGGAGCGATGCAAAATCGCTGAGAGCATTTACGAGATTTGATCTGGAGGGGGGCCGGCTCACCGCGGAGTGCTCGACATCTGCTCGGGCTCGATATCCAAACATTGGGATCATGCCATGCCATTTCCCTCGATGCTGTTCCACCACACCTACACAGCCACCAGCTTGCCATGAGACGGGTATCATGTTAAAAACACAACTAGGCCTGCGCCATGGCAAAACACAAAAAGATATCGCTGACGAGAGTGGGATTCGAACCCACGCCTGTGAAGACTAGTAAGTCTGGATAGGGGTCCCGAAGGACCACCACTCCTGAAACTAGCGCCTTAGACCACTCGGCCATCTCGCCCATTGATTATTAATCGGCAGGAGGGAAACGTCCTTGGTATCATTCAAGCTGAAGATCTAACATCTGGGCGTTCCCCCTGACACTGTTGCTAAATGGAAGAACTCTACACATGGAAGCAAGAAGTTGGTCATTCAACTTCTTCCATGTGCTTTATACCGGCCACCTCGCCTCAAATTCCCTCGGCCCACCTCTGATTCCACGGCATGGTGCCGATTCGCCGTGAACATCGAGATGAACCTCAAACACCATACCCCTTTAAACGCTGATCTTCCACCACATGTTCCATGATTCTCACCCAAAGGACATCTTCTTCGAGCTCCCTCTTGTTGCTTTACTTCACATCAACTTTCGATACTGGACTCTTCTTTTTCTCGCGTACCTACTGAATTTGCTTGTCTCCTTTGGGAGCCGAATGGCGACTTCGCATGCGCCGATGGCAAATGCAGAAAGCCACGGGGACGAGGACGATGACAAAGACACCATCAAGGACACCACCAATGATGAGTCCAATTGAATTCGACTTTTGGCTGTTTTATTGGCCCATCGGCTCCTTCCTAGACATTGCCTTGCACCTTTGCCCCCTGAGCCACCTGAGCCCGAGCCTCCATTGGGGGCAGGGAAGTTCGAGTCAATGATACCGGGCAGGAAGTTTGTATTGCATGTCGAGATGTCCACTGGATCTTTTTGTATTCTCTGTACAGCCAGTACAAGTCCAACAGCGCTCTGGATCCTGACAAGAAGGATCTCAGGCCGAGGACACAGCATGGTCTTAGCCCCGGCGACCCCTTTTTTGACACCGAGCCCATCGGTTGGCGCTTGCTGGTGGCCGCGCAAAAAAAAAAAGAACGCCGCGTGGTCTCAACCAATACCGCCGCCACCGCCGGCAGACAACTCGAGACTCGATCATGGCCAGATGACAAGTGAAAGGACGTCAAAATGACAAAAACAATTGATGACGTGGGCGCCATCCGGGGATTGAACCCGGGACCTCTCGCAAGCAATGCTTCAGGGTGGACCCTAAGCGAGAATCATACCACTAGACCAACGGCGCGCTGTAAGACATCCCTGATTGTGACCAGGGGCCGGTCGATGGGAATTGGCGAAAAATAGGTGTATAAGTAGGCTGTGCTCAAAAAACCACATCTTGGTCAGCCCGCAGGACCACCATCGTCACCCGCTGCCATCGAGAAACTCGCTGAAGCTTTACCGTTTGTGCCTTGATCATGAACCAAGTCTTTAAGGAGCTACTCAGGGCCAGCGATAAAAGATGGAGGTGGGCTGGCGATCATCTCGACGAGATCTTTTGGTGAGTGAGATGGTCCTCCTCCATCGACGACAACGCTGACGAAAAGGATGTCCGAGGAGAAGCCACTTGGCTGCGCGACATGGCTGGCTTCCATCCCGAAATTATTGAGAGTCTGACAAGTACCCTGATTGAAGCAGTCCCCCATTCCTCCCAGAGTCAAGACATCGCACATGCAGTGGTGTCTATCCCCAACACGTCATCGTCAAAACACCAACCACAACCAGCTCAAATCCCCTCGACAATACTCACACATCTCACTCACTCATCTATTCGTCCTCATTAAAACATTCCGTCATTCGTTTCTTCACGGGCCCATCCCCGCGATTGGCCGGATCGCACTCGGGAGAACGACCCATTTTACCCAGATCCTTCCGAATACTAGGGGCGTAAGCCTCCCGGAACCTGACTTGCGAGATTACCCTTTTCGGTCACCACCACCCCTCCCCCATGATCCTATTCCCTCTTCCCCCAGTGATCTTCTTGGTTCCCGCCATCCTTGCAGAGCACGTTTCCTCTCGATCTGCTGGCATCTCGGGCACTAATATCTGACAGCGGCTGGGGTGCATAGATTGGCGCGGTGGATCATGGTGATCCGTGTACAACACGCCCCGGTGTTGATGGCGTGGGGGCGGAGGCTATAAATCGACTTCATCTGCTCGTCTTGGTGCTTGAACATCGTTGCTCTCCCTCCAAGCCCACCGCCATGAAGCTCTCCTATCCCCTCGGGGCCGCCCTGACCCTCCCGTTCATGGCCGTGGCCGCCCTCCCCTCGAGATTCGGCATGGTTTTGTTCCCCGGCTTCCAAAACATCGAAGTAGCCGGGGCCATCGAGAGTCTCTTCTCAACATCCATCCAGCGACCCCTTAACCTCACCATGATTGCTTACACTCTCGACCCCGTTTCGTCCCTCACTCCCCCTCAAACCCGCATCGGCTCGACCTTTTCGACCTCTCTCGTCCCGACACATACATTTGCCAACCCACCAGCCGACATTGACGTGCTCTTCGTCCCCGGCGGCCTCGGTAACCGCGCCCTCTCCACCGATCATCGAGCAGCCCTACTGGGGTACCTTCAAGATGTCTACCCCAGCCTACAATACCTCCTCTCCATCTGCACGGGATCAGGTCTCCTCGCACAAGCGGGACTTCTTGACGGCCGCAACGCAACAACCAACAAGTGGGCATGGTACGAGACGGTGGCTCATGGGCCAAAGACCAATTGGATCGCCAAGGCGCGCTGGGTCGTCGACGGGAACATCTACACGTCCAGCGGCGTTGCGGCAGGCATCGACGCCGCCTTTGCTTTTGTTTCAGACGTTTTTGGAGAGGACGTCGCTGCCAGGGCGGCCCAGGGGCTCGAGTACATCCGCGTCACGGATGCAACCAATGATCCCTTTGCCGAGGTCAACGGCGCCGTCGACGTACCACCCGTCCGTCCAGCATGCAAGTAGCGCACAAGTCAACCCACTCATTGATATCGCGTGTCTATTCGTACCGGTACCAGACATTATATACATGTATACCCCGGTGGCCATCCAATCTCGAGTCGTACAACGGTAAAACCCGGCGCAAGCCCGCCGTTCTAAGCCAGAAAACAAAACGCCCATGGTGTTTCTATGACATGCAGTGTAGAGAGCGTAGCGTCTCATAGTAGGAAATTACGTTTGATCTTCATCCGGGGAAACCTCGCCCCGGGCAACATTCCTCCCCTTAGAACAAAAAGAAAGAGGCGGCAAAGACCAGGGCCGTCCAGACGGTGGTCACGGTGTACTCGAGCTCGAACCAGGCGGCCTGGCCGCCGAAAGCAATCTTCTTGCTCTTTTCGGTGGGGTGGGCGACGGCCGTCTTGGGGTCACGGTCGAGGAGGTGCTCGCGGTCCGGAACGGTGGGAGGGTCGATGGCGTAGGCGATCGGGGTCCAGAGCGAGGAGCAGATGAAGACGAAGGTCAGGGGCGGCCAGAAGGCGTGGGTGATGAGACACTTCAGGATGGGAATCCAGTTCTTGTTGCGGACGAAGCAGCGGAAGGTGGTCAGGCAGACACCGGTGAGGGTCATGTAGACAAAGGCGAGGTGGAAGCTGGCCATGTAGTTGACGAGGATGGCCCAGAGACGGCGGGGCATGTGCTTGCGGGTGGCAGCGTCGCGCTCGTTGAGGGCGGAGCCGAGGGAGCCAGTAGGCTTGAAGGCCTGGGTCTGACCGCCGAGCCAGGTGGGCAGGATGAAGGACCGGACGATGCAGAGAGCAATGTAGGGAGCCATCCAGAGCTGGTAGCGGGAGCCGCGCTGACCGGTGTGGTAGCCGGCGGGGATGAAGAGAGCAAACTCGCACATTCGGTTGGTCATGACGGCGAGGAAGGCGGCGCGGATGAGCCACACGAACTGCGAGTTGTTGGCATAGGCGACGAGGGGGCGGCCCATGACGAGGATGATGGGGATGGCGAAGAGGGAGACGGTGAGGAGGATGGTGTACAAGCTGAGCGAGGCGTAGAGGAAGCCGGAGAAGCGCTGGGCAAAGGTCATCTCGCGCACCTTGTCGCCCCAGAGACAGAACTTGAGCTTGAAGGACGTGTCGACGGTACCAATGGCCCATCGGGTACGCTGCTTGAGATGGCCGCCGAAATCCTCGGGAACGGTGCCGTACTGAAGAGGCTCGTGGACGTAGGCAGTCTTCCAGCCGCGGCCGAGCATCAGAGTCGAAGTGGCGACATCCTCAGCAAGGGATCCGAGGGGGAAATTGCCTATCTCATCAAGGGCCTCGCGACGGACGACGTAGCCGGAACCAGTGCACCAGGCGACACCCATGGCGTCCTTGATGGGCTCGATGACATGGACGAAGAAGTCGAGACTCTGAGCGAGGGGATCCGAGGCGGGGGTGTTGTAGAAGAGCTGGGGAGGGCAAGCGAGGGCCATCTTGGGGTCGATCAGAAGATGAGGAAGGACGGCACGCAGCCAGTCACGCTCGGGAATCATGTCCGCGTCGAGAGCGGCCATAAACTGGCCCGCGCCACCGGGGAGACGGTGAACAGCGTCGAGCCCGTAGTTGAGGTTACCGGCCTTGAAATGGTGAGGCTTGCCGGGGATCTTCTCACGAGCCATGTAGAAGACATTAGGGTGAATGGCGGAGAGGCCAGAGCAGGCGTTCTCAAGCCCGGCAGACTGGCCATCGTCGAGGATGACGACACGGAAGCGCTCCTGGGGGTAGTCGAGGTCACAAGCGGCACGGATGGTATCCATAACGACATCGTCATCCTCGCCACAGCAGGTGATGAAGACATCGACGAAGGGCACCTCTTCACCCTGAAGGCGAAGTCTGGGGCGGTTGCGGCGCTTGAGCGCCCACATTGTCCAGATGTTGTGCATGATGGAGGGAATGGCGACAGCGACCTCGACGGCGATGAAGACCCAAGCGGCGGCGTAGACTGTGCGGGCTTCCTTTTGAGCGGCGACGACGCAGTAGATGCGCAGGGTGAGGTAGGCGACGTAGCTGAGCATGGCGATGAGGGTGAGCAGGGGTGTGAGCTTGTAGACGTGGCGCTTCCAGCCCTTCCAGATCTCAGAGTCGTCGCGCTCGTGGAGCTGTGTGATGGCCTCGCGGTCGACGAGGGTCTTGGAGGAGAAGCCGGCGGGCGATCCGGGGAGGAGGGCTGCGAGGCTGACCTGGCTCTGGGCCTGCAGGGTATTAGAGACGATATCAA